CGTCAATGATTGACTGATGAACTTACGATCTTTTAACTATTTTTGTAAGTATAGGCCCAGATACGCGCTTGAGTCATTCAGCCGCTGAAAAGTCGTTCAGTTCTTAAAGCTGAAACGTATGAGAGAAATCAATAATTAAGTATCTTCAATTCACCGCTAGTTAGCACACCGTCGTTAACTACGACATTAGCAGAGATGACACAAGAACTACAATCCATTGTGAGCTTCAGACAATTGAAGAAATTCGTTCCCTAGTACGCGATGATGTGAGGCTTGACCTATGGAATGCAGTCTAGAATTTTTTCGCAGCATCACTAAGTTGTGCAGTTAAAATTTTTATTCATATTTGATACAACCACATTCACATCTTAATTGGCGGTTAGCTGGTGAATTAATTCAGTTCAATATGCTACTCGTACAGTTCAAAATGTCGTACCTTATATTGGAATCCGCTTCTAATAATTTAATAAGAAATTAATAGTACACATGTAAATTAATAATCCATTAAAAAAAACGCGGGTATCGCTCCAACAGAGCGCCAATTTCGACATCACTCGGTAAAATGAGAGGGCTGTTGTCCAAATCACGATGCGCTTTTTCCCGCGGCGTGAATATATATATTATATCTCCGAAATATAAGAAAATGATAGCAGCCAAGAACATTTAGTTATGGTATTGTGTAGAAAATATACTTCAGAACACATGGACGCTTTATAATCAAGTACTGTTTGGATATCCTGGGTAGTGGCGCAGTATCTCCACGCACCCGTCGAATATCACAAACTAATACTAAATATTAATCGTTAATAAGTAGTTTCTTGCGATTTCATTCTAGTCGATAATCATAAAAAATTAGTAAATTAACCTTAAATTCAACAGTAGATCGCTGGTGTAATGTAGGCGGCGCATGAGTACAGATGCAAATGGTTGCCAGATTATCCTGCGTGGTACAGTCGATATTTTTTTTATAAGTGAATATATAGTAAAAATCGTTAACGTGCGGTACATCGTCGCGTACCACCTGGAATAGCCTCGCGTACCACCTGGAATAGCCTCGCGTACCACCTGGAATAGCCTCGCGTACCACCTGAAATAGTCTCGCGTACCACTAAGAATACCCCTAAGTTGTGGTTCGCCACATTTCACGAACCACAACTTTATTTTCCTCATGTATAAAACTGTCGTTAATTAACAGGGTGAAAAAGCAACGTTACAGGGAGCCGATGATGCGCACGGCAAACAACTTTAGAACAACAGAAAAAGCATAAGACATCGTCATTTAGAACGTGAGTGAGATTCATTTCAAATTTTAATTACTGTAAATATCACAAGTATTTCATAAGTGCTCACAAAAAATTTTTAAAGGCTCGCCAAAAAAAAAAATAGATAAGTTACGAGCCATACATAAAAGAATGAGATGAATCGCAATACTTGCTCAAATCGAGTTTATCGTCATTTAGTTATAATTTTATAAATTAATATTTCATCAATTAGGAATAAAAAAATTTTCTAAGTAACATATTTTTTTGCCAGCCGATCGGCTGGCAACATATTTGCCAGCCGATGAAAACTGTTATTGAAAAACCAATGCACAGTAGTGAAATTTTTCCTATAAGAATGTCTACATTGTACTAAATTAGGAAAAAAACATATTCTGTAGCTGGCAAGTGTCAAAAATGAATTGTTTGCAATTAATCATAAATAAAATACCACCGAAATATAATACGAACCTCAACGAGATCAATAATTAATGTTAAGTAAAGTTGAGTTGTCAAGTCGAGATCCACATGAAAAATCTATTTAACTGGAAAAATCTATTTGACTGGAAAAATCTATTTAACTGTTAGGAAGGCATACAACTGCCGGCTTGAAAAAATCCCATGAATTCTGTTATAAAACTCAATACTTAATTAGAATTCAGGACAAAGATTGCACAGTTCAATGAATACAATAAAAATAATATTCAGAAACTTTCACCGTCAATGCATTCAAGTCAAAATTTAAATATTCGAATATTTTAAATAATAAAATAGCTACGAAGTTACAAATTTGAACTGACTGCGATCATATACAAAAAATTGTCTCCTAAACACTCAAGTTTCAATGGGATAAAAGGGAAAAATACTAGAAGCTAAGTAATAATTTTTGATAATTGAAGCTAAATTCAAGTAATACCTTAAACGATCAGTTCTAGATGCACGTAGTCGCGATACGTGATGTTACAGCGCATGTAAACTCGAGCCTTTTAAAAATTAATTTTCTACGTTATGGTGTAATTTTCGTAGCAAATTTCATAGAGTTATGGATAGCTAAATTATGATATAAATACGTAAATACAGACTTTTAATCGCCATTATAATATTCGATGGCAAGGAGAACTGCATCTTGCACCATTAAAGTAATCACAAACTTTCACCCCCTCTCAATGCGGCATGAAAATTCCTCTACGTATATAATAACTCAAGCTAAGCATATTTACGGTGAAAATAATACAAAAACACAAGCCATAACACAACACACAGATGGAATGTAACGAAATAAGCGTAAATTGGTCAAAGTCCAATCATGTTTAAATGGGAACTAACCGACGCTTAGGGATTGTTATCTAAATAGAATAAATTCTGAAATGAAATTCTAAATAGAAGCTCGACCAAGCATCATGTCAAGCTGCTTCATCTTGCTAGCTAAATTCACTTCAATTGCCGTACAGTCTGAAAAAATACTGTTAAAATAGAGTTTAATATGAAAATATAGCGATACATTTAAACGTAGTAATTTGAGTTCGAGCAGATACGTGTTCTGTATGTACAATACGTGCAACGAAGTGCTAGCATGTCACGCTCGAGTGTCACACAGGATAAATTCTAGCCACAACGAATAATATTCATTGATAATAGTTGTAACCTACCCATAAACCAAAAGAATAATCTTGTTGTACAGGCGTTAGTAAAAAGTAACCAGGATAAAGGTTTTTAAAGAACTTGTAATTACCACGAGTAGAGAATAATCTTGTTGTACAGGCGTTAGTAAAAAGTAACCAGGATAAGGGTTTTTAAAGAACTTGTATTTATCCCCTGTTTTAAGTTCAATAAATGATATTATTCAAGAGCAAGAAGAATATCTTTATGACCTTTTCAGTTCATGCTCTGAGTCTCAGTGTTGCACAAGCATCTCAAGCTAACAATATCCTGTTAGAGTCATGGGGACCATACTTTCAAAACTCGTTAAGTGAACGTAAGTACTTACGCTCTATTTTCTTGTCTATGATTGGTGGATTTTGCTTGAAAGGCCGTCAATGATTGGCTGATGAACTTACGATCTCTTAACTTTTTTTGAAAGTATAGGCCCAGGTTACTGAGATTAATTATGATTTAGAATTGATTAGTAAAGGTATTTTTTTCAGACACAATATCCTTAAAAATTTCAAAGAAGATGCACACGGATGATTTTTGACCATACAACATTACCTTCTACATATTGCTTTAAATCAGTACACGGGAAAATACGCAACATTTTGAAGGCGCTAAGGCCCAAATAAGTGTACCTAATCACTAAGATCAAATTCTACTGTGAAATTGCCATTGACACAACAAAACTATCACATTCCAAGTGAAGTGCGAACTATGACATGAGATTTTTTTGCACAAATATAAGCTGGCCGAAAATGGATTACTTCAAGCAGCAAGTCATGATAACCACTACATGATGAATTGTATTCATCATCACAAAATATATCATCCATCACTCCATTATATTCAACTCCAGCGTTTATGCCACAGGCAGACAGTTTCGATGATGAAAAGATGAAAATGACGTCATTGTTTTCAAGGAATTATTCAAGGGGAGCAAACCTTCAGAATATTACAAGCATTTAAACATTGCATACTTTCAGAATATTGCAAACTATCATAACATTGCATTGACAAAAATATCAAGACAATCCTAATATTGCAGACCATCCAAATACTACAAAAAAATATATACGATGTCATTAGTGCGACTCCCTGTTTGTTTATTGGAAACGTAAATAAATGATACAGAGTAACGTAAAAATAAATTAGTAGGTAATAAATATGTTGTAGATGATATATGGATTGGTTTAACATTGCATTATTGCATCGAAGAGTATTTACTATTAATCCTTTAATTTACTATTACTCCTTTAATACCAGCGTCATGACTCGCTGAGCTTCTATTGCACTTGAAAGTCCAACCAAGTTTTCTCTAGATTGAGATGATACTACAGAAATAAGATTTTTAAATTATTCAAGTTTCATCCCGAAGGAAGACGAGACTGTTAAGGCCTGCTTTATGCTTGAAGGAAATTAATGTATTTTCCATCCCGAAGCCTTTCTCTTGATCCTAAAAACCATAAGTGTCTTGATCTGAAATCGTCAATTAAACCCAATGACCAAAAATACAATCAAACAATATAACTCAGTACGCACTGCAGTGAGTGACAGAGAGCGCATTTTCTCGCCGACGAAAACTTGAGGTCACGGACAGACGGACGGACAGACGGACATGGCGAGCACAATAGTGCATTTTTTCCATAAATGAGAAAATGCACTAAAAAAATTTCAGCAACAAATATCGTGGACTTACGTACAAGCCATTTTGTCCACTTATGATTTATAACCCTAATGTTAACAGAACACAAGTTCTATTTTATTTCATTCTAAGCAGGATAATTATTATTCAACTTACAAAAGCAGACAATTTTGTAAGTAAGTCAGCACTCCCGACGATATAAAGTTGGAAAATAATTTCGAAATAATAACCACGGATTCAATTTGGTAACGCTCGCCTCAAGAATCGACAGCCGAAATCAGTACACTGTTAGAAAAAACGGTGAAAAAACGGTCCCACTGGCGTTCTAGTGGCCGGTCGCCCCGTGAAAATGAACTGTTTCGCCGTTTTTATCAGATGTTTTACGGATTTCTAGTGTTGAATTATAATAAAAACGGCGACACGGTGTTTCTTTCCACGTGCCGACCGGCCACTGAAACGCCGGTAATACCGTTAACGGTAATTTTTCTAACAGTGTACCACTTCACTACTTCCCAAAATATCCTATTTTTACGAGGGAAAGTTTGGCCAAGACGAAGATAGCGAGGATCTAAAACGTCTGTCATGTCAATAAAATAATTATATAACAATTAAAGACAGGAGGAATGTTGAAATATTTCGAACAGCCCTCGAAATGAGCACACAAATCTCAACCTTATCATACCACTAATAAATGGTAGAATTTTTTAAGTATTAACTCCTAACGAAAAAGGGGAATTTCACGTGCAATTTTTCAGTTTAACTTGTGTATATGTCGGGCAAGATCTATAAGACCTAGAATTGCGTTAATTCTAGGTCTTTGGTAATTAATTTTGCCGATGTTAATTAATCATTTATTTAACATCGGCAAAATGGCTCAACCCACATCAAGGTCGAAATAATTTAGCATGCATTCAAGTTCGCCAGCTCAAGCGGAGCACGCGTACAATTGAGTAGGCATTTTTTTCATTTTAATTACAATTATCACACCAAAAGTCTCGCAAAAAAGTGGTTTTCAAAAGTAGATTTTTGAGAATATTTTGCTGAAATTGCACGTAATGATCCTAATTACCAGATAACCAAAATTTATTGAGTTGATTACACGCTCATTATCACATTAGGGTAAAATATATTTAGTTTTCTTTCTTCAGAGTTCTTAGGGCTCGGAAACTTTTCTGATTAATCCAGTCTATTTTAAACAAAGTGGGAACATGAAATTGTCCTAAATTCTCTAGAATAGCTCTTGGTTTGGGCAAGGAAAATCAAGGTTGCCCATTTCACAATTGAAGAAGTTTTAGATTTACAAACGTAATCTATTTTTCATATCTTCCAATGACGAGAGCTTCATATTATAGAAGGTGGACAAGGAACAAGAGATTAAGTTTCCCATCTCAGCTCTTCTTTGTATTAGTCGGCAACGGCAGACAAGATCTCGTTTGGTATAACAGCAGATGTAGTTCTAGTTGGCCTAGAGTTAACTGATCAAGCTTCTGCAGCAGTACAGTCTAGTTTCAAGATTCCAGAGGCACACTAGATTCGTATTGTTACAGACGCCTGGTTCTAGTTGTCCTAGTTCCTCTAGATTGTTGCAGCAGACGCCTGGTTCCAGTTGTCCTAGTTGCTCTAGGTTGTTGCAGCAGACGCCTGGTTCTAGTTGTCCTAGTTCCTCTAGATTGTTGCAGCAGACGCCTGGTTCTAGTTGTTGCAGCTCACAAGATTGTTACAGCAGACGTCTGGTTCCAGTAGTCCTAGTTCCCGTTTTTGTCCAGTATTCCTAGTTCCAATCTAGGGTTCCAGTAGTTCTAGTTGCTCTAGATAAGTTCTAGTTAGCCTGCCAGCGGAATGCAGCTCGCATAACCCAGTGCTGGGCGAGGCCGGCGTCGCAGGGCTGCAGGATGGGCAGCGTGGGGTCCCGCACCTCAGGCTTCTGCAGGCACCAGCCGCTGTTCAGGTGCTTGATGCCGCCGGTCTGGGGGCGGTGATACGTATTATGCATCTAAATGACACAAAACATGCGTATTACCACTAAAATTACGCTAATTGTGGGGGAAATAAATAATAATTCGGAGGGAAGTAACACCAATTGTGTGGGAAGTGACACTAATTGGGAAGAAAGTGACGCTAATTGCGAGGGAAATAACGCTAATTGTGAGGGAAATGACGATAATTGCGGGGGAAATAACGAGAAAATAGAGGTAATTACGTAATTTTGGAGAGTGAAAATGAAATGGTTATAAATTTAATCATATTCAGAACATTATGCTGACGAATGAGTAGCTTTAAACTTTACTTTATTGAGAAAATTGCGCGACAACATAAAGTTAAGATGTGCAATAGCTTGAAAATAAATGCAATCATAAGTTAAATACGGTAACTTAAATACAAGATGGAAAATCGACGGGTGGGCTCAACGACAAAAGCTATGAAGTAAATAGCGAGAAGGCGGCAATCTTAACGTAGCCTAGAAATAATGTCACATGTGGCTGTCACCGTACCTGCTCATCGTAGTGCCACATCTGGTTGCCACCGTACCTGCTCATCGTAGTGCCACATCTGGTTGCCACCGTACCTGCTCATCGTAGTGCCACATCTGGTTGCCACCCATGCCATGGCAGCGCACGAGCTTCACAGGACCGCTGGGGTTGCTGGCGTCCAAGCAGTTGTCGTCAGACATGATCTGCTGGCGCTTCGTGTACGCGAACACCTGTTAATTATAACTTAATTAGGCATCAAGTGACCGATTAGCGTCCAACACCTCTTAATTATAAACTAATTAAGCATCAAGTGACCGATAACTCTAGTGATAAATATAGATCTGACAATCATAAACTGATTAGGCATCAAGTGATCAATAACCTTTGGCGTCAAATGACAACTTCTTAAAGAAATACTGCATAAACAAATTAGTCAACAACTAATCACGGAATTTAGCTTCAAACGATTACGAACAATGCATATTATGATACTATAAGAACCATCAATCAATTAGACACAAATTGATTGACGACATAGAAGTGGAGAATGACTGAATAAAGACATAAAACATGGCAGTAACTCACCTGGTTGCCACCAAGGCCGTGGCAGTAACTCACCTGGTTGCCACCAAGGCCGTGGCAGTAACTGACACCGAGGTTCTCGCCGCTCTTGTGGCCCAGCGTGTCCAGACAAGACTGGCTCTCGCTGTTGCGGATCTGAAAACCAAGCAATCGTGCGAATGATTTAGTTATCCATTTCAAATATCAAGGTTAAAATGTTATTGATCATGTATAAATAAAATATTAACCCTCAACTATTATTTACTTGAAAGTTTCAAATCTCAAGTATAACTCATGTAATTCAGACCTTACATAAGCCATGCTTTTCATATATCATATTATAGTAGTAGTTGAGGGTCATATGTTTTTTCAAGGCATTACATTCACACAAATAGTTTCAAATAAGGTCGATAACTCGAGTAATCAGTAAATAAAGTTCGATAACTCGAGTAATCAGTAACTAAAGTTCGATAACTCGAGTAATCAGTAACTAAAGTTCGATAACTCGAGTAATCAGTATAACTAAAGTTCGATAACTCGAGTAATCAGCAACTAAAGTTCGATAACTCGAGTAATCAGTAACTTAAGTTCGATAACTCGAGTAATCAGTAACTAAAGTTCGATAACTCGAGTAATCAGTAACTAAAGTTCGATAACCCGAGTAATCAGTAACTAAGCCATGAAAATAAATAAAAGAAAGCCATGCCAGTCACCTCGCCCAGATAGTAGTAGTCTAGGGGCATCTGACTCTCAGGGTATTACATTCACACTAATTATTTCAAATAATAACGATAACTCGTGTTATCGGTAATTAATCCATCAAAATAACTTAAAAGTAAGCCATGCCCTTCATATCACCTCGCCCAGATAGTAGTAGTCTAGGGGCATCTGACTCTCAGGATAGATGTTCTCCAGGTACCAACGGAAGCTCTTGCAGTTGAGGTCTTTACGCAGCTTCTTGCGGGCGCTTACGTCGCCATAGTCGACGCTGCGGGCGCCTGAGCGTGGTAAGTGAGATGGGTGACTAGCTTATTTTAGTGAAGGATTCTACACTGTTAGTGTGAAGGATTCTAGTGAAGGATTCCCTTAGTGAAGGATTCTACACTGAAAAATTACAGTTAACGGTATTACCGGCGTTTCAGTGGCCGGTCGGCACGTGAAAAGAAACACCGTGTCGCCGTTTTTATTCTAATTCAACACTAGAAATCCGTAAAACATCTGATAAAAACGGCGAAACTGTTTATTTTCACGGGGCGACCGGCCACTAGAATGCCAGTGGGACCGTTTTTTTCACCGTTTTTTCTAACAGTGTACTTACATTTGTTATTACTAAATTTTGATGGTAATAATTGTGCTTTCATTTGAGTTTAAGGATTTTAGTAACCTTTGTTTCAATAACTGTTTTTATAATTTTCATTATAATACTAATTGTTTTCAATTATGTAACAGCTGAATTCGCAAAATATTAATAATTACTTCAATTTGGTAATTACAAAAGAAGAAGTTTTAGGAACTCCACGAAAGAATTCTGGCAATCGAAATAAATATATTAAAAATACTTACAACTGAAGTAAACGCAATGATTATTATATACAAAATTCATGCACAGAGAACTCATGACAGAATAGCAGTAGTACTCAATAAAGAAGAGAAGGACAAGATTTGAACGCAAAATCCCACTCAAAGCGATTAGTGTACAACATTAACCACCGTAAACTGTAAGTTATATCGAGCAATCCGTTAGGTTAATTCAGTTGTTATCAAACTCGGGTTATTGGTTACTATGCTACTGAGTTACTAGAATCATTCGTGGCTTTTTAATAACACACGAAGTATATACATTATAAAGATACCCAAGCGTCCTCAACTGGAGATCACCCTTACCGAAAGTAGCAATCATAAACACTTGGAACACTAGTAATGGACTCGAGATCACCCTTACCGAAAGTATCAATATTAAACACTTTTAACTAATACAGGAAGGAGGAGGTGCAGCACGCAACGCACACTGCACTGGACTAATCAATTCACGGTGGTCCAAGTCACCAATTTAGAGGAAATAAAATTATGGGAAAACTTATCCACTCATGGACTGGGGGGTAACGATAGGCACGACTGATTTAATGCTATGATATAGTACAGCCAATCATCAACAATATGAATTGATTTGATAAATCTATAAAAGAACTCTTTCCAGTCATCTTAGAGAGAAGATTCTCACCTGGATTCATGCTATAATAGAACTCTTTCCAGTCATCTACAGAGAAGATGCTCACCTGGATTAATGCTATAATAGAACTCTTTCCAGTCATCTAGCCAGACCTCGGCTAGCCTAGCGTTATTCTTATTGACGATGCGACTGGTGCCGCCAGGGAAAGAGTAAGGCGTGCTTTTTCTAAAGACGTGGCCCACGTGGGAGCACGTCGAGATCTCCAGACTGCCACCGCACATCCAGATCTGGCATAGTATAGTACTATAGTATAGTATAGTACTATAGAATACGTAGTATAGTATAGTACACGTGCTCTGCGTGCGAGCACGTCGAGATCTCCAGACTGCCACCGCACATCCAAATCTGACGATGTTAGTCCCAGCGCCAGGTTAGTCATGCAGCTACACTGTTAACCAGCTAACATTTTACGGTGTCAGGCAGCAGAGAGATAAGAGAAGTATCTGTTAAAAATAAGGTTATGGAAACTTGAAACCTGAAGGCGTTGTCTAATAAAGATATGAATAACTAGAGAGACTGCGAAGGGATTTAATGAAATTTTCATCAATTAAATTAAATTGTTCCCAAGGAAAATCGTAGTCGTACAGCAGCACACCGAGCAAACTGCGTTGAAATTATACATCATGGTTAGAATAAGAGAGCCGTGCAACTGAACGCAACATCGCTGCGTCACGCATGGTTATGAGAGTATAAGTACAATGTCATTAAATGATATAAATGAAAACAATGAAGCCACTCGAAAACCGGATTTACAAAACACTTTTTGGATTAGAGAAGTTAATGCACACTTCAGCATGAATAAAAACAAAATGAATGAGAGAATTCAGCAACAACCAGCCCATTTGTTTACACCCTAGATACCTAGCAATTTTGAAACAATTCAGGTATAAAGCAGTTACATACATAGAGCTCAAGTTAACGTATTACAATTATACACCGCTTTCGGTTCTAATCACTATAAAATGATCCGCATTCTTCCATATGATGACAGTTAACCAAATATAAAAATTGAATCGGCTGGAATCACTTAAGCTATAGACTTATGTTTTCCTTAGTATCACTGAGAGAAATGAGTTGGTTTGGATAACCCACTTAGACGAGTCAGCCGCGTCCAAAAAGCGATGCACTTTTTTCGACTCACTTACCCCATTTATGAGTCGTACTGACCTATTACAGGCCCTTTAAATCTCTGTTATGACTCACTTGTGGCCTTAAATCGCTCGGGCACCCAGATGATCGCTGCTACGTATCCGTGCTACGGGTGACGTCAAATGCGATGTAGCGCCACAAGTGAGTCATGCCTGGCATTTAAAGGGCCAGTGATAGGTCTACATGACTCATAAATGAGGCAAGTGAGTCAAAAAGTGCATCACTATTTGGACGCAGCTGACTCGTGTAAGTGTTTCATCCAGACAACAGCAAAGTTTATTATTTTGCACAGTCTTAAATTGCACTACTATGGCGTTATGAAATTGATATACACGAAATTATTAGTTAGAGTCTGTCATTGCCATTAAACATACGTATGCTAGGTTATCTAGGTTATATACGAGTAGTACAAGTCTACTTTTGTTGGTTCAAACTCCGATTCCAGAGCTAGATCACTCCATTTACTCTGAGCATGCCCTACACACAAGGTTTAGAACGTTAACGTCGCTTTCAAATGTTTCAGTAAGAAGTGAAAGTTAACAAGAGTCAATAATCAAAATAACGGAAATTTAGTTTTGAATTTAAGCAATGTTAGTAAGCCGGCAAAACCACGAGATGAATAGTTAATTCTTCACAGCTTTCTAGATGGTCCGTTTTGGCCCAAATAGGATCAGAAGCTGGACATCAATACAATGGATTAATAGATGGTTTAGATACTAAGCTACTAAGTCAGAAGCAGCAGCCCCGAAGTCCCAAACCTCTTCAATAATCTCCAATTAAATTATTACAAATTATTTACTTAATATCTAAGTCCAGATTCCATATAACGATGTTTTTCACCAGTAATTAGATAACTGAATACAGAGGCAACCAGGATAATTGAACCAGCAATAGAAGACGCAATCCAATCTACCCCACAATTCTTCGACATTACCGCAACATTTTCCAGCGTAAAAACCGACTAGTATAGAATGTCTAACATTTCTAGGAGAATTTCCAAGAAGTATATTGGCACCATACGCTCACATGCTGTTATCTCAACCATAGCAGTTAGATCAGCACACGAATACCCTCGACATCATTCCTTTAAGCAGCACTTGAACTTATATACACTATATTATTGTGTATAAAGAATATGTTCTATTTTGAAAGCTCTTGAAACGCTAATGAGTAAATTTACTTAAATAAGTTCGATGTTAAAACGAAGTCGCGAACGTGAGCAAATGAAGCTTCAAGTCATGCATGGTTGAAGAAATCAACTGCTGCTTATACCGTTACGACCGCCAAGCCATCAAGACACCCTAACTAATCCCTCGTGTTAGGCATGAAAGTTTTTTGAGAAAATTGAATACTATTTACTGGAGTAAATAGTTAATAATGGCTTTCTGGAGTGCAAGTTCTGATTTCAATTACTATCATGAACTTCAACGTTGAAAATGAAGGATTGAATAGCAGAGAAAAATAGATTGATCTAAGTATATCTTTCAAAGTCAATAAGATTGCAAGTTATGGCCTATTTGATGAATTTAAATGGAGTTAAATACAGAAATGACCAAACAGTACACTGCAAAAAACCATTACAGAACCACGAGACTAGACGCAGAGCCGCTCGCTACCTGCGTTCATCTCAAAGAAAAAATCCTTCCACTCGTCCATCCAAACGTGCGCCACGCGCGCCGAGTTCTTCATGACGATGTTGACAACACCGCCAGGGAACGTGTACGGTGACTTATCTCTGAACACGTGCCCTACGTGTGAGCACGGCACGATCTCCAGACTGCCACCACACTGCCAGATCTGGCATAGTATAGTACTATAGTATAGTAGTGCGAGCACGGCACGATCTCCAGACTGCCACCACACTGCCAGATCTGGCCGCGGCGTATCAAGCTTATGTCAGTAATTAATACCTAACAATACATTTTATTAACAAGCTTAGGTCAGTACGTAAGTTTTGAGTTTATATAGTACCCTTTGTGGTCAGTACATAATTGTGTATAATACGCTAACATTTGCGCTAAGTAATTATGTGTATAATACGCTATGTAACATTTTTAACAATAGTTTAGCAAAACGATCAGTTGAATTGATTGCATTTGTCCGCTGAAATTAATTTTATTACAGATTATGCAATTTAACTCGTACTATAACTTAATAATGCTTAAATTATCAATTTCGTGGATCAATTTTGAGGTAAATTCAAGAAGATACTGAAAACAACATTCCGTCACTCCTGTATCGACATCAAAAAATTATATCAATCTCACTCAGTAAAAAATTGGACATCTAGTAACCAGGAAATGCAGCGTAGCGTTCAGCAACAAACTATGTTAACTATTACATAAAATATTTAGGTAATGACAATAGAAGTCATTGAACCCTTTGCAAAAGTAATGAAGATCAGAAAGAAATATAACACGCGAAGGGTTACGCGAGGCCCGCACTCGCAATCACAGTTCCATCATCAACACATCACGGCTGCAACATCATCATATCAAGGCTATGTCAACACATCACGGCTGCAACATCATCATATCAAGGCTATGTCAACACATCACGGCTGCAACATCATCANCATCACATCATGGCTACATCAACACATCACGGCTGCAACATCATCATATCATGGCTACATCAACACATCACGGCTCCAACATCATCACATCATGGCTACATCAACACATCACGGCTCCAACATCAACACATCATGGCTATGTCAACACATTACGGCTCCAACATCATCACATCATGGCTATGTCAACATATTAATCCGAGACGCGTGCTTGAGCGCGGCATTTCCACAGGATCGCGGAATGGAACCTGCCTCATGGAACGGATATCAGTAAATAAATTCAGTTAAATTACGATATTCTAAACTGAAAATCATAATTAGTATGACCACAAAAAAATTTATTTTACACTCTTGAAAAAATACGTACGTGAAAATAATTAAGACACTTTACGCCGTAATCGCAACATCAGGGTAATAACATATGAAAATTGTGAACATTGTTAGTTAGCATTGGATTCTTTTAGAAATTCATTAGAATGTACGAAACGTAATCGAATATTCTGAAGAAAAATAAAAAATCTGACCGCTAATGCGGGCAAAATTAATGTTAATTATTAATAAACTTTGTCACATTGAAGTATTACTGTCACGCAACAAAGCATTGATTTTTCATGTTTAAAACACTCAGAAAAAATTACACATACACTGACCATGAATATTTTGCGTGCCATCTTCTCGTATCTGAAGGAAAAACAGCAATAAAATATGTAGTGTTAAAGAAATAATTTGCGTGCCACCTTCTCGTATCTGAAGGAAAAACAGCAATAAAACATGTTGTGTTAAAGAGGCAGCGAACCACTGCTGAGGAACTGTAGAGACACTGGTTCATTAGATTTATTATATTAAATTTATTATAACCCGAGATAAAAAATTAATACATAAACAACTACGGAGCGTAGAAACGTGGGCATATAAACGAGTTGCTGTAATTATGTGTGGGAATGAACAGTTAGCAAAAATTTCAAGACTCTCAGTAAATATGTGACTAAGGCAATCTATGTACTTAAAGCGATATACAATGAATGGGCAATAAATAATCCCGATAATGACAGAGTGACATAATAAATGAATATCAATTATTCTTTACATAGGTAATAACGGAATATTAGCTATTCTATAACCTAATTATTATTGGCCGCTATTATAGACAGGCTAATAATAAAGTGGCAATATCGAAATCAGATTATTACAGACTGGCTAATAATATGGAGATAATAACAAAATCAAGTTATTACAGAGAGGCTAACAATATCGAGGTAATAACGAAATAAAGTATTACAGACTGGTTAATAATAAAGGGACAATAAGGAAAGCAAGTTAATTACTGACTCTGAAAGACATCTCGAGGTTCTCGCCGCCCCAGATGTCCATGCCCTCGTCGTATTTGCCGATCTTGTTGAAGTAGTCGCGGTCCATGGAGAACAGCCCCCCTGCCATCGTGGGCGTCCTCAGCGGCTGCGTCCTGTCGCCCCCACGGCGCTCCATCTCCCGCTGGGGGACGCGGTACCTGCGGGGGACCAGGGGGTAGAGAGGGGACCAGGGAGTAGAGAGGGGACCAGAGGGTAGAGAGGGGACCAGAGGGTAGAGAGGGGACCAGAGGGTAGAGAGGGGACCAGGGGGTAGAGAGGGGACCAGGGGGTAGAGAGGGGACCAGAGGGTAGAGAGGGTACCAGGGGGTAGAGAGGGGACCAGGGAATTGAGAGGGGACCAGGGAGTTGAGAGGGGACCAGGGAGTAGAGAGGGGACCAGAGGGTAGAGAGGGGACCAGAGGGTAGAGAGGGGACCAGGGAGAGGGTATAAGGATACCAGGGAGAAGGTATAAGGATCCTTAGGGTCCGAGGGAGAGGGTTGAGAGGGCACCAGAGTGAAGGTAGGGAGGGTATCAGGGAGAGAGTAGAGGGGGAAGAAATTCTAAGGGGATACAAAGAAGGTAATAAACCTAGAGCTAAAAATGAGCCTGAAATTGTAATAAGATAAGAACCAGAAGAAGAATGATAAATAGTTCAAGACAAAGTATAAAATAGCAAACGTACACACATTAGTAATCGTGTCTAGTTTTAGTTCAGCAGCTAAATTTGGTTGTGGAGGGTATATTAGATTGTCTTATGACGCACAAATAAAGTTTATGCGCTACGCTGAATTTATGAATGAGACAACTTCAACCCAATGCCGTAGGTTGAAGTCGTCAACTGACCATCTCATGGAGACAACTTCAACACAATGTCGTAGGTTGAAGTCGTCAACGGGACATCTCATGGAGACAACTTCAACCCAATGCCGTAGGTTGAAGTCGTCAACTGACCATCTCATGGAGACAACTTCAACACAATGCTGTAGGTTGAAGTCGTCAACTGACCATCTCATGGAGACAAAATCGTCAACTTGCAATGTGATGGAGACAACTTCAACCCATTTTATCAACTCTCGCTGTTATTTCAACACTCGAACCAACCATCTGAAGTTGAGCTTCCAGTTGAAGCCGCCCCAGGTCATGTCAGACGCGGTCACGTACTCGAAGGTGTCGTCTGATATCACGTCGATTATCGGGCACACCACGCGCGTCCTGTACATACAAAAAATTATTCAGTACTATTATTAATAACTATCAAGACAATTTTTATATAATACAATTGTCAGCACTGATACAAATACAACTGATTTACAATGCAGTAGCTACTGATCATAACTTATATTGTAATCTGATTGCCGTTGAAGATAATTCATTACAACAAAAATTTCCGCAGTTTATATTTATTCGTAGCGTGCGTACCTATTATGAATAGGTATAGCAGAGAAAGAAAATCTATGTGGCGGACATTGGGCATGTAGATGGAATAAAATCGAGCTAGAATATTTCATTCAAAAATAAAAGGAAATATGAAGTTTAAAAGTTTCTTCTAATTCCAATCATTTTCATAAAAAATGGGTATTGAGGCAGATACCACGCTCATAGCCAATAATTTTTATGGTGGCTCCATTAATGCAAATGGTAACACCAGGCCAATTTTCTTAGGATTTTACTATAAACTCAAAGCTGGTTAATAGTATTTACCCTTTCACCCGACCTTTTTCAATAAGACATTCTAAGAATTAGGGTTGAAATGAGCCTCCCTTATTGAAATGAGCTTCAATGTCTCAAAACTCTCCAATTATTAGGCTGTGCCCTGCATGATTCTTATTAACTTCATTTCGCCATTCAATACACGAATATGTACAGGCATGAGACATGTCCACCGCTATCTAGCGGCTGTGCAATAAAAAAGTGCTCATGTATACGGAGCGGCCAATTTCTCGTCGGTAATTGTAGGGTTTAGCTTGAAAACCATCTACTATTGGCTGACAGAGTTATAAACTATCAATTATTTTTGATAATTGATAGTTTGATAGCACCCGTCTTTGATGACTGCAGTAAATTATAGCTATAAACCATATTTCTATAGCCATACACAAGTAATACAAGGTGTCCTCACTTGTCCTCAGCTATCCTAGCCAGCAGAGGCTCAAGCCACCCTTCAGTACACAAGTAATATAAGGTGTCCTCACTTGTCCTCAGCTATCCTAGCCAGCAGAGGCTCAAGCCACCCCTCAGTACACAAGTAATATAAGGTGTCCTCACTTGTCCTCAGCTATCCTAGCCAGCAGAGGCTCAAGCCACCCCTCAGTACACAAGTAATATAAGGTGTCCTCACTTGTCCTCAGCTATCCTAGCCAGCAGAGGCTCAAGCCACCCTTCAGTACACAAGTAATATAAGGTGTCCTCACTTGTCCTCAGCTATCCTAGCCAGCAGAGGCTCGAGCCACCCCTCAGTACACTCGACGTGCGCGTCCAGGAATGTGATGACCTGCCCCTGCGCCTGCGCCGCGCCCAGCAGACGCGCCCTGATCAGACCAGACCGCGTGCCCGTGCGTAGCACCTTCACGGGGACTGGTAGGGTCGCCACGTAGCGGTCTAGCTCAGCCCCCAGGTGGTCTGCACATACAGTAATGTTATTAACATAGGTCTAGCTCAGCCCCCAGGTGGTCTGTACACACAGCAACGTTATTAATATAGGTCTAGCTCAGCCCCCAGGTGGTCTGTACACACAGCAACGTTATTAATAGAGGTCTAGCTCAGCCCCCAAGTGGTCTGCACACACAGCAACGTTACTGGTAATGGGTTTATGTTTGCCGGTCTGAAAACATTGAACAAGTTTCAAATTCACACGAAAGAATGATTAGGATCCAGTTTTAAAATTGACATTTATAAAGTCACGATTAAATTTTTTCTGTACCAGCTTAATGAATCTCATGTAAAAGTTAAGGGGAAAAAAGGGTTGCAAGTGACATTGATGTTTAGCTGCAGCCTTTGCAGGAATTTCTCCCGACAAATAAAGACAGCCACTACATTTTAAGGCTGACTAGTCATAGTGCCTTTACTTTTCTAAATCTTCAACACATCGTCCAAGATAATTTGTGAATCTTACAAGTAAAAATTATAAATTATTCGTCAGAGGCTAGGTCTAATATGAAAACTAAACCAAAACAAAGTTCATGCAATCTTCTTCAAAAGAAACTCGTACTATGCTAAACTGTCAACAAAATCTTGATGTTTTTGAAGTTGCTAAATTTTAGATTAACAATTGAATTATGTACGTAATACAATCCAAATAACAAATGATATTTAAATTTAATAATGAAGTGAATGATAGAATGATGCATGACTTTTCATATATGCCAAACTGTCAACAAAATCTTGAAGTTTTTGAAGTTGCTAAATTTCAGATAAACAATTGTGCTATGTTTATAATAGAATCTAAATAACAAATGATATTTAAATTTAATAACTAAGTGAATCTTAGACATCTCATATACGCATGCCAAACTGTCAACAAAATCTTGATGTTTTTGAAGTTGCTAAATTTTAGATTAACAATTGAATTATGTACGTAATACAATGTAAATAACACATGATATTTATATTAGAATGATGCATGACCTCGCTCAGAAGCATCGTCCACAAGAAGGATCTCCCTGAGCAAGGCTCTGGGATTGAGCTATGTATATAATAGAATCTAAATAACAAATGATATTTAAATTTAATAATGAAGTGAATGCTAGAATGATGCATGACCTCGCTCAGAAGCATCGTCCACAAGGAGTATCTCCCTGAGCAAGGCTCTGGGGGACCTGTTGATGATGGACCACACGGTTGAATTACCTAAGTATATAATACAATCTAAATAACAAATGATATTTAAGTTTAATAAGCAAGTGAATGCTAGATTGATGCATGACCTCGCTCAGAAGCATCGTCCACAAGAAGTATCTCCCTGAGCAAGGCTCTGGGGGACCTGTTGATGATGGACCACACGGTGCGTAGAAGCGTCGACCAAGCCTCGTTGTGGAACACGATCACGATGCTGGTATTGGGCATCAAAGGAGGGTACTGCTTGGTCTTACATCTGCACAAACACATTAAATATCAATAATATGGTATGAAAACTTTTCCGCATCTGTTATGCATCAAAGATATTGTCTAGACATTTATTATCATTAGTTACATATCAAGGATATTATCTTGTCTCGATTTTCATATAATTAGCAACATTTCAATGATATAGTCCTAGATATTCTTATTCTTTAGTTAACATCAAGAAAAGCGTCGATATTCATAATCATTAATGAGTGCCTACATATAATTTTCTGCCAAATACACAACCCAATTAAGAACGCACCTTATTATTCAGTATAGATACGGTAATAAATTAGTCACATACTAGGTACATTACAACCAATAGATAATCTCTCTTTCTTCATTTATTTAAAGTAACAATGCAGCCAAATTGAAGAGAATGGAACTGTACATGACAAGCATAAACAAGAAGATTTTTTTTAACAGAATAAATTTTAATTATTATTAAAGTTATCTGAAATTTTATGCCTTGTAGGTACATATTAAGAAGCAGCTTGGGTATTAATTCACACTCACCCATCTAATCTAACATCTGGAAGTGACCTATTCAAACTAATGGAATCAGATGCAAGTAAATTGAACTGATTGAGCTTGAATTTTTCCTTCATGAGAGCTTCTTGACTCTTGGGTATGGTGACAGGCTTGCCCAGCTCCCCCGGGCTGTTGGGCTGCTCCCCGACCACAGGTCTGGGCACCCAGCGCTGGAGCTGGTCGATGGGGTACGCAAAGTGCCAGCCCTGAGGGAGAAATAAACAACAAAATTAAAAAATTAAAGGATATTTGGTCCTTATTAACTAAAATCATTATGAATCTCACAAGTAAAAGCTTTTTTGATTTGCGAGAACTTTCGATTTGAATTTCAAAAGGTTCCCCTTAGAATATTTTCACTGGGAACCTTACTTTTTTCTATCTCATTGCACTATAATATGCAAAAGTATAACTTTGACTAAATTAAAATAACTGAGGAAGAAGGTAACATAATAATCATAATGGAATCTTGATCCTGTTCATTTATCAGGAATAAATGCATGAAGAAATAAGACATTTAAATAACCTAAATATAGAGAAAACTTATTTCAACTAGAATTATATGCTACTGATGAAGAAGGAAACATAATAATCATTAATAAAGTCTTGATCCTGTTCATTTTTCAGGCATTCATGCATGATGAAATAATAAATTTAAATAGGTAGTCTGAATGTAGAGAAAATTTCTTTTGCAACAAACATGCTAATAGATAGGTAGGTACTGCTTTTTGGGTGCAAGAGTTTACAAATTTCATAGAAGTAATGATACCCAGTTGTGTTTGGTGATCAGTTCTGCCCATTTTAATTTAAAATAATCAATATCAAAGTCAATATTGCATGCATGTGCTCCCAGTAGGCTAGACATTGGCAGCCAGGGACTGCAGTAAATTTTTAGACTATTAAGCCTCATACAACTAATTATACATTTTGGATTAGATCTGCTACAGGTACCTATAAGTACACAACGTAAACCTTCGAAAACAAGTCAATAAAACCTACTATAAAATATCTCAAGAGCTCTAAAAAAGAGAACATTTTACATGTATGTAACAAATTTGCCAACAGAACATCTTCATAAACATGTAAGAAATTCAGTATGAGTTTATAACAATGAGCATGTCTTTTGGGGTGCGGTGCTCACCGCAAGATCATGGGAGCTGTCATCTATGACAGCTCTACCAAGGCTGAACTTTGATGGTAAGTCGTCCACTCTCTCAGCCTCTCCTTCTGCAGCTGCCCGGTCTTTGTTCCTCCTAATAACGTCACCACAGCCCCAGCCTCCAGTTCCTTTAAAACCGAACAGACTTGAGAATTTTTCTTACATTGGGAATACACACTAGCAAACAATTCCTTGATCCGCAAAAAATATTTGCATCTCATTCAAATATAAATTGCAATGTTGCATTTATTTTTTTTCTCAAATTTTTTAAATGAGAAATGCATCCAAAATTTATCAAACAGAAAAATTAGTTTGCCTTGCTCTAGAAAATAATTATAAACTTGTTAACAGAAAGAATCATTTTCTAGATCTATGGAACTGAATGGCAGTGAGACACAAGTTTTGTAATTAAGAAAATTTTTTTTTTAAATAGTTAGATTGATCTTTGCTACTAATGGTGTTGAAGTTGAAAACTATCAACAGAAAGTTTACGGCCAAAAAATTCACTAAACTATCTCGTCAATGCAGTGCCATGAAGCTTACCTGATGAGCAGTCACTGTAGTACATAATGACTGCAACATCCAGCACAAACCACACAAGTGAAGTGATCAGCACAATCTTGCATGTGTGCAGTCGTAGTCTAGAAGTTCTAAACATTGTGTTGGTTGCTTCTACACTTGCAGTTTATAACAGAGAAAGAAGAGACTGGCTTGGAGTCGTAGAGCAGGAGAAGTAAAGAATCAACTCAAAGCTAGATCAGGCAGCAGTTTTTAAATGACACACAAAACCAGAGAACTGGGCAAAGAACTAAGAATATTAAGGTTTGGCGTTCCAATTAGGAACTTAGGCTTTGAAGACAAAAAAATAAAAATCTTTCAGGATTGAGATAGGTACCTATTTATATAAATGTTGATATATTGAATTTAAAGTGATAAATTGGGATCAAAATATAAATATTCAACTACAGAGCTTAATTGATTTAGTCTATGAAATGCTAGAAGTTGACTGCAAAAAAATTTGTTTTGGAATGCTTGATGAAAGACTTTTTGGAGCCAATAATTACAGTACTATAGGAAACAATTTCACTAAGTGAAGGAGAGGAGGAATTGATAAATGTTAAAAAAAACTAAATGGTTAGTTGTCAGTGAAATGAAGAGCAGAATTACTGGTTGGAGATACAAGTCTAATTAAAGCAAAAAAAAAAAGAATTAGAAACAAAACAGGAGTATTAGGAGCATATGTACATGTGTCATTGCAATTTTGAGTCTTTCAGATGAATTAAATGGATTGTAAAACGAAAATGAAATAGTGACAGAAAATAAAATGAAAGTGGGAAAGAACTAATCAGGAACTTGTTAGGAGTGCTTGATTTTTGCATGAGGCACGCAAGAAGTAGATCTTCCCACAACTAAAGTCGAGATTGCTGGCAGCCTCCTACAACCTGAAAAGAAGTGAAAATTTTTCAGTGAAAAATCTATACATAGTAAATTAATTAATCAATTAGCAGAATGCATGATATGATAGTTGCTTTCTTTTTTATAAACCAAATAATTTGTGGAACTATGTATAAAGTCTATCACAGTTAATTAGAGGCAAAGACAGATGATATAAACTTTCTAATTTTGATTGGCAGCCATGGACATTTGATTGACACTTCCTTTTTTTTTCTAAAATCATGGAAATATGGCCATGCCATTTTTTGTTGTGAGCTTTAGTTGATTGTTACTGATTTGTTATTCTTTGCTCCCTGCTTGAAACTTTGGACAGATTTTGTTTACAAAGTTGTGATTGAGTTGGATTAGATAGCATTGCACGACTTGGATTGTTTTGCCATACAGAGTTCATATTATACACTGTGGAGTACTCGAAGGCCCAGGGGTATTAAACTAACCAAAACACATACAGGTACCTACCGTCAACCGGGGCTACTCAGGACGGTTTTGAGTGTTTTTTGTTAATAACTTCTTACCATGATGCATTTCATGAACAAGTTTGGGCTCATTTTATAGCTCTTTGCGAGGGCTATCACATGGCTTCTCAAAAAAATTCCATATGCTATTCGTAAGGTGCCAGAAGCAAAAAAAAGAGTGTCCCAAGTAGCCCCTACTCGGGACACTTGGAATAAAACTTCATTTTAAAACATTTGAAGCATGTATGTAGAGTGTACTCATCCATTGCTAACAGTACCATAAAATGGGGTAACTTAGACTGGCAGGGTAACTTAGACCGCTTTTTGTTTTTTTAACAAAAACCCCCACAACTCAAAAACTATTTGACATAGAAAAATTTTGTCAATGGGCATTGAAGGCCTAATACTGAGGCTACATAACACAATAGAAAGATTTAAAAAGTTTGCAAATCTAATAGGTTAAAAAATTAAAATTGTGACCCACGAAAAAAAAATATTATTTAAAGCCTGTCATAGTACCCCCTCAAATTTTTTCATTTTTTGGTTAAATAACTCCAGGTTTTGATGCATTGTAGTAGAACTCTACTAGTTACATATGCAAATGACAAATTTTAGGAAAGTGTCCTAGTTTGCAAATGGGGGGGGCGCCGCCCCCAAATGGGGTAACTTAGACCACCTAATGTCAGCCCTGATGGGGTAACATAGACCAGCTTGGAAGTTAATATAAAATTACCATATACAGCAATCCCTTGATTAGCACGGTTTTGAATACCGCGGTTTTGATTAACGCGGAAAAAAAATTTGCGACCTACCCTTAATCTACGCGGTGCCAGTTTTGATTAGCGCGACTTTTTTTTCAAGGGGTAACAAAGACCATCACTTTTTTTGAAATTACATAAAGACTATGAGAGGCAGGAGCCAGCAATTTATGGTGAGTGAAGCTAGAGTATAGACCTGTATTTTGCACATTTCAATTCAAGTTTAATTTAGCTAGTAAAAAAATGGCATCATTTATAATAAAAAAAGTGGTCTAAGTTACCCCATTTCACAGTACTCTGAAGTCCTCCTCTTTCATTGTAGATGATGTAGAGGTAGAATAAATGACATTTTCTGTGATTTTTACTTGTTTTTCCTTTATTGATATGATATTACCATAAACATTAATTACCATCAACTGGGGTGACTTCTGACTCCGTTTTTGATTTTGTTTTGCAAACAAAAACGGGGTCGTAAATGCCGGGGTCATAAACGCCAGGGTTGTAAACAAGGTCATAAACGCCAGAGTGACTTTGGCCATCCTTTTTTACCCTGCTTTGGCCATCATTATGAATGCAGGGGAAGGAATACCCCAGTTGAGGGTACCATATTATTGATGGAATATTACTGTATTATTGATGTGATATTACCATATCCATAAACATGCCATTGAGCATTTACAACAGTGGTTCCCAAACTTTTTCAGGCTGGTGCCCCCTTTGGCCCCCTAGTGAATTTTTAGCGCCCCCCACAGACATACGCCACTCTCTTGAAATTTAGTACGCTGAAATTTTAAAAGATGAAGGTTAAACAAAAATGTGTATCTCACAAATAGAACCCCATTTAGTGAACCAATATGTTTTTCAGCTGTTTTAACTGTTTCAGCACTAGAAGCCAAGAACGTTGCGGGCGAATTTATGGCCGGACTCGTGGCCGGTCTTACGACCAATCTCCAAATTCAATTATCAAGAAAATATCTCCCAAACAAATGAACGCAGCTCTATGAAACTTGGAACACGCATTCATCAGAACCTAACGGTGATGTTTAGCTAGTAAATTTTTTTAAATTTCACCTTCATTGGTGAGTTGCGCGTATATTGCGAAACGGGCCAAAATTCGCATTGATCAGAGAATTTCTTCAAACTATTGAACAGATTTTAACGAAATTTTGAATATACATTCCTAACTACCAAGCGGTGATTTTTTAGATTATAATTTTTTTACAATTTTACCTTCGTTTGCGAGTTTTTTTCATTTCACCGTCATTCTTGATTTCACACTTCCTTATATTTGGCCTGTATCGCCGGGTAATTTGTCGCTTAAATTCGCGGCGATCAAGAAATTTCTTTTAAAATACAGAACAGATTTCAACAAAACTTTGTATAAAAATACATAACCTCTCAACAGTGATGTTTAGCTCGTGACAATTTTTCCATTTTGCTTTCATTTGCAAGTTAATAATAATCTGTTCAGTAGTTTGGAAAAAAATTCTTGATTACTGCGAATTTAAGCACTAATTGCTGTTTAAATCACGAATGAACGTGAAATGAAAAAAAAAAACTCGCAAATGAAGGCACAATCGAAAAATTTTTAGTTAGGACTGTAAATTCAAAATTTCGTTCAAATCTGCTCAGTAGTTTGGAAGAAATTACTTGATCACTGTGAATTTCGGCCCGTATTGGCATATAACTATGGCAAAAACAAACGATGGCAAAATTCAAACAATTTTTACAAGCAAAACATTACAGTTAGGTCCTAATGAATACGTGTACCAAGTTTCATCGAGTTAAGTTCATTAGTTTGAGAGATATTCCTTGATCATTGAATTTGGAAATTGGCCGTGAGACCGGCCTCGAGTCCGGCCGTTAATTTTTCCGAGACGTAAACCCAGGAGAGCCAGGTTAAAAAAAACAGAAAAAACCATCGCTGGGAGTCATTTGCTGCACGTGTTGTGTACAAATCGTCTAACAAACGTTCGAACTTCTGACATTGACTTTGGACAGCCGCCCCCCATATCGCCCCCCTACCAACCTCTTCTTCCTTATCGCCCCCCAAAATCTTTCCACCGCCCCTGGGGGCAATATCGCCCACTTTGGGAACCACTGATTTACAACAACCTTGTTCACTGCAAGCTTCATGTCAGCAGCATTATAGCATTTTTTCTGTATCTGTAAGCTTACAGGACGGCTTATAATTTGTGTGATGATAAGTGAACTTTTTTTTGCTCAGCAAGGTAAATGTAAACAATATTCTTTGTTTTTAATCAATTTTTTTCTTAACTGGAGCCTTTGCTAACTGAGATTCTACTGTAAATGTGCTTTCGGAGGTGTCCCGAATAGCCCCGAGTAGCCCTGCCATGCGGAAATGGCCATTTTTTTTAACGAGATAGGACAATTCTGTCAATTACGTTTTCAAGCCAACACCTGGGTGCATCTTTTATGTAAGTAACATTTTTTAATACGGCAAATATTTTTTTTTGCTACAGACCTTAGCAGAAGTAACTTTTCAAAATAGCGTTTTTCACTATTTTTTCAGGAATTTTTTAAAGCTAGTAAATGTAGTATTTTTCATCTTCCTTTATACTACATAGATAGGAAAAATGTTGACGTTTACGCCACTATATTTAGTTTTGCAATATTCCAATTAGTTTTGCTACTATAACAGTTTTACGCCGTGTCAGAGGACTGTCCCGAGTAGCCCCGCCCGTCCCGAGTAGCCCCAGTTGCAGGTAGTATTTTCTAACATCCTTTATACTACATAGATAGGAAAAATGTTGACGTTTTTGCCACTATATTTAGTTTTGCAATATTCCAATTAGTTTTACTACAAAAAACAGTTTTACGCCGTGTCAGAGGACTCTCCCGAGTTAAACCGCCCGTCCCGAGTAGCCCCTGTTGACGGTATCTAGCATTAACCATCATTTATAGAATTTCATTCCAATCCTATCATCCTGGTAGTCTGCTACCCCGGCATAGTGGCAAAGCAGAGAGTTTTTAGACTCTCCTTCAAGTTCATTTTTGAGTTCTATAAGTAGACCAGTAAAGTATGTTAAGTAGGTATCCTGGATACCGGTACCAGCATTATCATACTTAAGAAATTGGTTTAAATCTTGAGTAAATGAGGAAATTAAAAATGAACTGATTCTAAAAAAGCTCTGGTTTGCCACTATTGCTACCCGTGTTATGCGGTGTACCAGTACTGGCTCTGCGCTCCGGCTGTATCGCCAATCC